TCGTGGTCAAATAGGCTTTTTCTGGAGTTGATGAGAACTATGCTGGTCACTTGAATGTTTGATTATTGTGTTATTGCATACACCCTGGGTGTTTCCTTTTTAGAAAATGTGATCACTGATTATCTAGCAGTTTCCTTTTGATTTATGCAATGCGTTACTTATGGGTTTAGCTTCACTAGGCAGGCCCTCATGATATAGACGTAAAATTTCCAACCAGTAAACCTAAACGTCCCAAAGTTCGGCCCGATTAATCAAGCATTCCGTATTCGTTAAGGAAATAAGTGTTGTGCTGTGAGTGAGTGATCGTTTATCAACAGCAATAAAAACACGAAGTTTAAACGATGACTGATACGAAGGTTCAATTACGAAGCCCATCGACCCGTGAAATTCCTCCGGATGTCCTTGTGGTACGAAACTCACTGTTAAGAGAAAATTCAGTTTGGCTTAACTATGCCTTTTCTCATCAAGCTTTAACTAAAACCCACAGTCCTTTAGCCCCAATACACAATATTTAGCCACGCCGCAGTAGGCGAATCAGATCAAAAAGTATCGGGATATTTTGAAGTCAACGCATGTTGAAAATAATTATTTTCTATATATGTTGATGCTACAAAGCTTGGTTGAATTCTTTCCTCATCAAGATATGGACCCCAATTTAGATGTGACGCCCACCTTTCACTCTTGAGTAGTTCTCCAGCGGATTGCATAAGCAAACATTGGAAGGCTTGCCGGTCAAACTCGAACCGAGCGTACTGACTTCGGCAAACCATTAATCAAACTGTCTATTTGGCGAATTGTGTGAAATAGCTTCAGAGTAGATCGAGTTATTTATCGATGAAACTCGTTTCTCCTGAGATTAGACGAGCGCCCTCACCAACGGATTAAATTGGATCAACCAAACCGTTGTATTGAAATTACGGGTAAGTATAAACTGTGTATTACCACGTCTAGACGTGAAAAGGAGAAATATGCTTATCTTAATGCATCACAAAGTGAGAAAAATATGCCTAGGATTACTGGGCTGGTGTGATTATCCATGCTCATTGGATAGTTCTCCACTATGATGCTGAACCGTTCTCCGATTAAGTTTATTAAACAACGAGAACATTAGAGTTGAGGTTTTGAGCACTGTGGCTGCTTTACTCAGCCGACCAATAAATAAAAGGTGTGATCAGCAAAATCACTGTACATCGTCCATAATGTTAGTGAACTGCCTTCAAGCAATTACAGTCCAATTTTTATAAAACGCGTTCAGCATGTGGGGAATGGATAAATCTCCAATCTATCATGCCAAAAACAAAAAGAATAGACGCAGTGTCTCGTAAGATCAATTGGATCAAACAAAACTGAACGTTGTCATGCGAAACACTGCCATTCCTTTTCGGTTAAGAAGCCAGAATTCAACAACAGGTTTCCTAAGGAGATGCAAATCAATACATTCCTACAAAGAAGTCCCCAAATTCCGATGTTTTTAAATGTAGACAACGGAATGACAGTTAAAACATCTCGGGTCATACACTGTTGCGTACAATTACAGTTTGAACAGGGAAGATCATTCGATATACCAATCTAGGACAACGGCTTTTCCTGTACATATTATTGATTCCGTGTATTTCCTGCAATTACCTAACTATTCCATTTTGGATTGGTTTCTTTCGCCTCGGTATCGGAACTTTCGGTAGCTCGTTTCGATTCAAGTGACAGCCAACAACTTTTGAATTCATGAATATTTGAAAAAAATTACGGAGAGTTTCCAATAAGAAACTTTCACTTCTCAATGATTGCATTAATTTTAAATGATCTCTAATCAATAATTGCTAGTGGGCTGTTTATTCATACGAGAAAATCCTAGCATTTCCATAAATTAGCTTAGCACTCATTGTCTAGCTTTTGTGAAGTTAAATTTTAGTCAAGGATCTTTACTGCCGTTAGAGCATATATTTTATGGTGTCGTGCTATTCATAAGTTAAAGTCTTTATCATCACCGTTTGTTGATTTTCACAAGATATAAATCGATTTGTGTTTGCTTAGCTGGGTTATTCTCAGGCGACACTGCGCAGCTGGGAGTCGTCTGGGTATGCGTAAGTAAAGTCATCTATTTTTATCAGTTACATAAGTTATAAAAGGAACAGAGTTCACCCAATTACCCCTTTTTGTTTCAGGCCAGAAAGAAGTTGTTTGTCTTTGGAAAGTTACTAATTTGAATGGTGGGCTAGGTAAACAATTACGCAAACAATTAAAATGCATGTGATATATTCAACTGGTATGTGAACCGTTTTGAAATTGTCTGCAATGATAACTCAGATAGAAAGACATCACATTCGTTTTTCATTTAATAATCGAACTCCTGTAAAGTCAAGCAGTTGGTTGTTTTGGTTTAGACAGTGTGATACAATTGAAAGTCTACTGAACACACTGTTTGCTATCGAGTAATTTCTTACACGTGAGCGTTTTACATTCCAATCGATCAGCACATTTTTCCAGAGGGAGTCCGTTATTTGCAAAGCTGGAAAACGCAATCTGATGAAGGATGAAAAAAGGGGTTTAATGGTATTTCAAACAGTCGCGACATATCACAAAACAGCTCCAAGAGCTCAACCAAACTCGAAGTAAAAAATATTTTTTCTGACTGAAATGATAATGTAGGCAAATACATGGCTGGGCCCCAGTGGTTGTTTGACAGACTCCAGTCGATTTCAGATAAAAGATACAGTGACTGAATTTATCTGTTACTTATTACATTTATGTTACTCTGCAAGATTAGTGATTCACTGAATGTCAAGCGGTCCGAGCGCATGAACTCCAAGGCGTGGACGGTCGCACGCTGTTTACAAGCTTGGGTGGCCTCCATGTGTGGATTTGACAACCCATTGAATTTTCTCCTCCTTTGGTAACTGAAACCAGGAAAATATGTATCAATTCTACAATACGATTGAACTATTTCAATGTTCCGAGACCAACAACGGGATAAAATATGTAAGGAATTCTCTGGCTACTTTTCATGTAAAAACCATGTTTTTGCTCAACTAGAAGAAAGTAGAGCAGTGATTGACGACTCAAAAAAGGAAAAAATGTTCTTACTCTTACTTTCGCGAGACGAATCATTGATTCACATACACCACTTCAAGAGGACTATGTCAGTCAAAATTATGGTTCCATAAGAAATTACACATCCATAAAACATGCAAATAGTAGCTTTAACAATTATTTGCTGTATATATACCTTATTGTCTAGTGGTAACGACTCCGAAAATGCCTGTGTCCACAGGAATATATTCCACTCATTCAGATGTTGAATAATCGACTACAAGTACTGAGCACATAATGAACACCAATAAATTCCATATCCGTTGCACTTGAATAAAAGTGTGCTTTAAAATTCCTCGGGACAGTTGAAAATTAAATTATATTATGGGTTTTAAGGATAGTCAACCAAGGGGAATGAGAATTACTTTTACCAGTTTGTAACCCAATCATCACAGGTTAGGGTTACCTAAAGGCTTAGAGTCACGTGGTGTCAGTATCGACCCAACCGATTCAAACCATTCCACCTAAAAGTGAGCGGACGAGCATGAGGAAGTAAATTGCGACATCATTGATGTGCTGAGCGTTGTTTCTAACATTTTCTATCATCTTTTCATTACAGGGGCTCGTTAAACGAGAGAGGCAATGTGCTTGGCGCTATCCGTACCGGAAAAGCTCGAGTACGGAAACAGAACACCTATCAGCTCTGTCCGCAACCATTCTATACATTTGCTAGGCATCGAGCTACTCTGAAAGAATTTACTCAAGGTAAAATTGAGACCTATCTCAAGGAGGCACAACTGGCCGAAAATGGAACAATCACACCACCATTTACGGAATGGCTAAATTCGTTACGTGATGCAATAGTTGTACGCCAGCAACGACTATTTCCCAGACATAAAATTGTGGTTCATGGAATTATTGGCACAGTTGGGTCAAATGAGCCCACCGTGAACTTTGCCACACAAACTTTCATGGCACCAAACTGTGGGGATGACTTTTTCGGTGTCAGCTATAAAACATCCGAGCTCTTCGCATCGGTGATGGTTGTTGGATTTGCGTTGGACTGAAACAAGCTTTGCCCCGTCAAGTCCCCTGTGCAAGATCAATTCAACGGTCTAAGTGATCCACTATGTAGTGCCAGTCAGCTAGAGGAGGTAACTTTCAGTGTAACACTAACTCTGAAAAAATCTATATATCTACCAACGACAGTCGGTAGTCGTCACTGGAGACCATAGACGATGTGACAAGAAAAACATTTTCTCACACATATAACCTAATTCTGCGATACCAGTGGCATGTGTACAAGTAATATTTGTAAGAAAAAGGATCTGTTTAATCCAAGTCGATCCTCGGAAAGGTTTCCGGATTTGATGAATCAATGAAATACATGGTTTTTGGAAGATCCCATTTATTTTGACCGGGTCCGAAAAACTGTTGAACACAAGGTTTGGTTTGATTCAATCGATTTTTCGCGAATAATCAGAAAAGTATCAATATGATGTCTATAGGTAGATTACAGCCGATCATTCATAAATGGCTGAACGCTCAACTTAACGTAATCCAGTTGGAAGCAACAAGATGAACATGCACACGGTTTCATGAGGGGAAAATAAGAAATAATGTAATGGATGAGAGGTAGATATGTAACTGATGTGATCGAATACAATTGTACTGATATCGTCCAAAAGCGGAAAATATTCAGCCTTATCAGCTTCCGAGCAAAGTAGTTTTCTAGGAGTGTGGTTATGTTCCCAAAGTCGAATTCTTCACTGCAATAACCATGAAACATCAGCAGAAACATTATTCATCGTATCAGGTAAACAATATGAGGAAAACTACATTATTTTTCCCAGTCATTTGTGAGTAAGTTGGTGACGAATAATTTTCGAATGTCTCATGAGCTTAAACCCTTAAAAGTCGACTAATTGTGATAAGAAATCAAAGAAACGAACCGAAAGAAATGCTGGTTCGTCATGTTTAGTTTCATTGCCAATATTTGACTAATGGGTGACTTGCAATAGGTTGATATATTAAGCTAAACTTGACGACTAAAAACGGGGGTATCAGAGAGAGTTAAAGTTCTAACAAACTTGTTCACGGATCACGCAGCTCGAGCACAACAAATTGACGACTAGATATACCGGAGCACCTGTGATCACTACAGACGTGTATTGAGGTATAGGTGACGTACCGGTGAGAGCTAAAGTAAAAAAAGAATTACCGAGCGCAGCAATATGCAAACGATCGAAAGCGAAATCGTAAGTTGACGCGTAAAGGGCTATATTTGTTAAAAACGAATGTCAAAGTGTCAAAATGAACTACAGATAGATTATACGGAAAATAACGAAGTCTGGAAATTTTCAGCAATTATCCGAATTTTTCCTAATATCTGGTCTCACTCCAAGCTTTCATTATTTTATGAATTTTTAGCTGTCAGCCCAGAAGTACACTCGGAGAAGCGTTGGAAACACAAATATATCGTGATCAATCATCATGGTTGAGCATTTGATGTATAAATGTTAAGACAATGCTTCATTATTACTTCAGAACTCTCCTGGGGCCATCGATAGACAGTTTTAACGATCAAGCGGAGGGATTTCGACAAAAAGCTTATTCATTATTGAATATAAATCAAAATGAACCAGATAACTTTGTGAGACATGCAAAAGATAGTCAAATCAAAGTGGCCATATCAGGGCAGCACACCAAACGGCACGTGCTTGTTTTGCCCACCACAATCACGTGACCCACGGATCACACACATTCAAGGTGATTTCTGAATATTGGTTCTGAATATGCTTGAGCCAGTCAGATTCAGTGCATTCTGTTGATTGTGACAATTTTGTTTAGACACTAAGTGCTTCCAACCAAGAGAAAAAATCGTGAGTCTTTCGAAAGGGTGAAAATTATGAATTAAAAGCAAGGAATGCTCCAAGATCATCTGTTCACGATTTCAAATCTGTTGTCCCGTGCTTCCTTAAACAACCAAATCATCAAGCAAGCGAACGGAATAATTCAGAAATTTTGTAATAATGACCCGTATCACATTAAGAATACCACGAAGGTGAGCTGGTAAAAGTAAAAACTTTCGTAAGAAAGCGTGTAATAAAGGATAATTCAATGCCCTTCACTCTNCTCTTGAGATGACCACGATAACTTGCAATTTAAATGTCATCGCTAGGTAAGGCCAAATCTTCACCCATTGTCATAACTGATTGTGGGAGCAATTTGGATATCCGAGACACGCCGGCATTCGACCGAATTCGTGATTACGAGAAATATGACAGACCACCAATCTTCCCTGTGGCGAGTTTGTCCAACTGCTGCTGTTTTGTGCACAAATTGGCTATCATAGCCGCTAATTTTAAAATTATATTTTATCTTGATACCTAAACGGCACGGTCCTGACTAAACATGATCAAATTTAGCCGCTGTTCTCAACACACAGCAAAATGAAATGTCACTTGAGTTCGCAGAGATGTAAGTGTACGTGTTGGGGACGAGATCACATCATGAATAGCTATAGCTAGAGTAGCTTTCACCAACCTACGACACCTGTGGCACCGCTATGACATTCGACTGTCCCTTAAGGGAAGGGTGTACATCGCCGCAGTTTGTAGTGTTCTGCTTTACGGTTGCGAGACCTGGCCTCTCCGAACGGAGAACATCGGATGAGCAATGGCGAGGTCCGTCGTCGTGTGTTGAGTATGGATAGTCGTTCCCCAACAGAAGTAATCGCTCTACACCGTCTCCGATGGCTTGATGACGTATTTGGTATGCCGGCTCATCGACTATCTTTCCGTGCTCTCTTCGCACGTGCCGGGCAAGGCTAGAAGAAGCG